TTTTCTTTCTTTCTTTTCTTTCTTTTTTTTTCTTTTCTTTCTTTTTTTCTTTTCTTTTCTTTTTTTTTTTTTTTTTTTTTTTCTTTTCTTTTCTTTTCTTTTCTTTCTTTCTTTTCTTTTTTTTAAGACTTATTTATTTATTTGAAACAGTTACACAGAGAAGGAGAGGCAGAGAGAGAGAAGTCTCCATCCACTGATTCACTCCCTAATTGGCCACAATGGCTGGAGTTGCACCTATCAGGAGCCAGGAGCTTCCTCTAGGTCTCCCACATGGGTGCAGGAGCCCAAGGGCTTGGGCCATCCTCCACTGCTTTCCCAGGCCACAGCAGAGCTGGATCGGAAGGGGAGCAGCCAGGACTCCAACTGGCGCCCATATGGGATGCCGGCACTGCAAGCAGTGGTTTAACCCGCTATACCACAGCGCCAGCCCCCGGTGGGTTTTGTCATGGCTTGGTGGCCAGGAGCTGTGACTCATTTGCCCAGTCACAGGGTCAGTACGGGCCCACGTCCACCTGCAGGCTCCTGCCTCCCTCGGCAACAGAGGAGTTGGTATCACGAAGTGTTGGCCATGTTGACCTCATAGATTTATAGGACTTGGATCCAGTCAGTCTCGCGGGACTGTAGGATTCTTAATGCACCCTTAGGCCTGAGTCATTTCTTCCAACTCCAGTGTGGGACTTCCTTTCTGCAGTCCCCAGGCCCTAGAGAGGTAGCTCCTGGGCAGTAGATGTTGAAATCCTTGGACTGGGGTTTGTGTTCGGGGCTGAGCCAGGTTTTCTGGGAAGCTGAGATGAAGGCGCGGTTTCTGTGGTTGAGGCACAGACAGCCCATGACTGGCTTTCGAAGCAGACGCCTGCCCTGTGCAGGTGCTGTTGCTGTCTCACCTGTGGCCCACCCTGAGTGGCCGTGCCACGTCCTTCAACAGGTTTTCTGGAAGTCCAAGAGGGGCAGCGTGGGGCCCTAGAGTTGCTCTGAGCTGTCTGCTTCCCTAGCATTGTCCCTCGGCTGCAGGAAAGCACGGAAGTGGCCGGCACTGGGAGGCCCAGGGGCCTTGAGGAGCAGCTGTGGGCAGAATCGGCTTCTCTCCCTGGTCCAGGGCCTTGGTCAGCAGCTTCCTGCTGCCCACTTCCCTCCACACACCTGTCTAGGAGCCCGAGCGTCCTTTGTGTGCGAGATTGCAGGGTGCAGCGGCAGGTCTCGAGCAAGCCCTGAGGTACCCGGAAGTCCTGGCTGGTTGAGCAGGTGACTCTTGTCTGTGATCTCAGCGCCATGCCCCCCTTGTCCGTTGCTCCTGTTCCAGTGCCCTGTGGACATCGAGACCGGCCCAGCAAGACGACCACATTCACCGGACACACTGGGGACGTCATGAGCCTGTCTCTGGCCCCTGACACCAGGCTCTTTGTCTCTGGTGCTTGTGACGCCTCAGCCAAGCTCTGGGACGTCCGAGAAGGCATGTGCCGGCAGACCTTCACGGGCCACGAGTCCGACATCAACGCCATCTGTGTGAGTCTGGGGGCCGCGGCTCGCTCCGTGGTCTAGCCTGCAGGCTGTCAGCGCTTTTCCTCTCTGCCATGTAAATGCTACCTGACTCACAGAGTGGGTGCAGGAGACTCCCGACGTGACCCCAGCCAGCTGCCCGTGTGTCAGCCATTGCTCTCGGGCATTGGTGGCGCGGCGGTCCTGTGACAGGCGCTGTTCCCACCCCTTGCAGGCCCCGGCGGGGTGTCCTGGAGCCGCTCTGGCGTCCTGAGCCCCTTGGCTGAAGGCAGTGCTCCCGCCTTGCAGCCCCTGGAGGTTCAGATGTGTCTGCACGCGTCTGCTGTACTGCAGGCCCACCGTTGTCCTGCTCAGTCCCTCCCTCCTGCCTGAGTTCAGGCCGAAGGCTGGTGGCACAGAGCAGCCAGCTGACCACATCTCACTGTTGGGCTGCAGTGAAAGCTGCTGTTTGGGGGCAGCGGCCGTGGCGTCCCCACCCTGCCCCAGTCCTGCCAGAGCCCAGCCCTGCTTAGCCGTGTCCGCGTCGCCGTGTCCCTGAGCAGTCACGTGCTGCCATGGCTCTCTTCCTCTTCTAGTTCTTTCCAAACGGCAACGCGTTTGCCACCGGCTCAGACGACGCCACCTGCAGGCTGTTTGACCTCCGCGCAGACCAGGAGCTCATGACCTACTCCCACGACAACATCATCTGTGGGATCACCTCGGTCCTCCTTCTCCAAGAGCGGGCGGCTCCTCCTCGCCGGGGTACGACGACTTCAACTGCAACGTCTGGGACGCGCTCAAGGCTGACCGGGCAGGTAGGCGGCCGGGGCTGTGACCGGCACACGTGGCTGAAGCGGTTAGGTTTGTGTTGCTCAGGCTGTGCGTGACGGAGTGGTGGGAGGGGGACGTCCACCACGTCCAGGCCCTGGCCCCTGCCAGTGCTGGCTCCGGGGGCATGAGAAGCTCCTCCCAAGTGCACGTGTGAGGAGAGGGTGGCACGGCAGAGCGGGGGCCCGACCCTGGGCGCTCCCCTGAGCTGCGGGGCTGGAGCGTGGTCCGGGGGCAGGCGTGCTTCTGTGTGAAGTCTTTGTTAGATGCATGTTTTTATTTTTTTAAATGAATTAATTTATTTGAAAGGCAAAGTGACAGAGAAAGGGAAGGAAATCAGAAGGGGAGAGAGAGAGAGATCTTCCACCCACCAGCTTATTCCCCAAATGGCTGCAACAGCCAAGGCTGGGCCAGGCGGAGCCAGGCGCTCCATCCTAGTCTCCCTGTGGGTGGCAGGGGCTGAAGCACTCGGGCCGTCTGCTGCCTTGCCGGGCGCGACAGGGATCTGGGGTCAGACAGGGGTGAAGCACTCGGGCCGTCTGCTGCCTTGCCGGGCGCGACAGGGATCTGGGGTCAGAAGCGGAGCGGCTGGGACGTAACACTGCGGCAGGGCCGCCCGCCTGGCCCACAGCCCAGCACCACCCCCGTGCACGTGTTTGGTTTGTTTTTTAAGTTCTATTTATTAGAGAGAGCGTGAATTCCTCCCAAATGGCCTCGGTGATCAGGGCTGGGCCGGCCGAAGCCAGGAGTCAAGAGCACCGTCCAGGTCTCCCGTGTGCGTGGAGCAGTCCAGGCACCGGGGCCGCCGTCTGCTCTTCCAAGGCGCATTAGCAGGGAGCTGCAATGGAAGCGGAGCAGCCGGGCCTGAACCGGCTCTCCCGGGGCGCCAGTGTTGGAAGTGGGGGCTTCAGCGGTGCACCACGGCGCTGGCCGCTTACTCAAGGGCAGCACGGCGTGCTCAGGGCCAGCACGTGTCGCAGGGCGTCACTGTGTCGGTGCCTCTCCCAGCCCTTCCCCCTCTTGGTGACCGACTCAAGGCCGGGCCCTGGAGTGTCGTCTTTGCAGAGGAGCAGGGTGCTGTTGGCACCCCTGGGACACGACGGGCACCATCCCTCCGGCTGCCTGAGCTGTCGTGGGCACACACGGGTGACTGTGGCTGTTTGCCCCTCCCAGGTGTCCTGGCTGGTCATGACAACCGCGTCAGCTGCCTGGGAGTGACGGATGATGGCATGGCCGTGGCCACGGGGTCCTGGGACAGCTTCCTCAAGATCTGGAACTAAGGCCGGTAGGTAATGCCGAGCCCGGCGCCGCCCCGCGGGCTGTGCGTGCCGGTCGTGAGCGCGGGCGGCCCAGCGAGCCGCGTGCCCCAGCCGCAAGCGGAGACGCTGGACTTGAGTCTCCGTCCTCTTGACGCCGAGCTGTGCTCTGTTTAAGCAGCAGGCAGCCCCGTGGTGACTGGAAGAGCATTCCGACCTTGAAGCGTCCCAGTGATAGCGCGTCCCGTCCAGCCACTCACGTGGACACCCGCACCCTCAGCACTTCAAAGGGCAAAGACCTTCTCCTTCACCTACGCTGAAACCAAGAGCACAATCCCACTCCGAGAAGGACGTGTGCCGTCAGCCGCGAGCCGTGCATTCCTCCCGGGGCCATCGTCTCTGTTTTCTTTTTTGTCTTGAATGAATTTTAAAAGGAAATACTATAATAAAACGTTACCCTGAAGGTAAATGAGTGTACTTGTGAGACAGACACAGCTTTCGTTAGTTTTCCTGAGTTTTAGACCAGTGACCCTGTCCGTGACGTCCCTGAAAACGCGCCCAGGACCCCGCCGAGCTGGGCCCCGGTCTGCAGCTGTGAGCGGGGTCGCGGGCGCCCGCGTGGCTCCCTCGGGACGCGTCCCCGAGCCCCCGGTTTTCTGTTGCTTGTCTGGTGTCACCGCCCGTTGTCGCACACGAAACGCTGAGCAGTGAAGCGCGCAGGCACACGCCCGGCCTCCCCGCCCGCCGCCGCGTCGGGCGCGTGTGTCCGCGAGACGCCTGTCAGGTGCTTGGATAGTCAGTCGCTTACTCGTGTATGAAACAATGTACAAATCAATGTTTTGAAAATAATGATCTCAGACTTTCTAAGTTAAATTTTAAAAAATTGATTGTTTGCCATATTGGGTGGGTTTCTCCTTAGAATCGCATGCTGTAGAAATGCTCAGAAGTGCATATAGGACTAAGTCCTTAGATGTTCTTTTTCTTTAAGAAATACCCTCTAAAGTTGTGCCCACGGCCGCCCTGCCCTCACCGTCGCCCTGTGCACACGGGAGCAGCACAGTCGCAGCTCTGCACGCTTGGCTCGCGGGAAGGCCCTGTCGTCCCTTTCTTAACAGAAAACAAAGGGGTTCTGTCGCAGGCGGTTGCTGCTGGATTCCGAGGGAGGGAGGAGGGTGGGCCTGCGGTCCCCGTCCCGGTGGGTCCCCACGCCTGCCTCCCAGGCGTGCCGCCGGGCCGTCACGCAGAGCCTCCCGCTCCCACGCGCGTCCACAGTGCTCTGGGCCCCCCGCCCCCACAGCAGCAGTGGCTTCTCCCTCCTGTGTTGCGCGACCTGCTGTACAAGGCTCTGCCGTGCTGCCGTAGGCCTGGACCTGGCAACGAGATACAACGAGCCCTCCCTCCCCCACCCTCTGCCCTCTGCCCTTTTGTATGTAAGTCCGTGTACTGCAAGGAAGCCGGATGCCAGGTAGATCTGTTAGACTGTGCTGTTATTTAACGTAATAAAGCAGTTTGACACGAGGGCTCCTGTCGTGCTTGCGCGCCGTCCGTGTTCGCGGCCGTGCCTGGGCCCGGCCACCCTGCAGCGCGGAGAGCCCGCCTGCCACCCGCCGCCGCCCTCTTCCCCTCCCCTAAACTCTCAGGGTGGGGTGGGCCGTTGGCCCCGGGAGCGTGAATAAAACCGGAGACTGCGTGTGTCAGCCGCTGCCTCGCTCACAGGTGGAATGACAGGATTTCCCTGGATCCTGCGGAATCTGCAGGACCCACGCGAGGTCCCTGGGGTTTTCGTGGCTCGAAGTGCTGGTCTCAGTGCAAAGCGTCCCCCTGGGGTGTCCCGAGGGAGGAGGGGGTCCTGGCAGGCTCTGCTGCTCCAGCTGGGTGTGAGGGCTCCCTCAGCCACCTGGTTGTCACTGCAGGCTGTGGCTTCATTTGAGATGGGACCGTGCTGTCCACCTGCCACCTTCCCAGGCAGCTGTTCGGGCAGGTGAGCGTCACCTGTGCCTGCCTGGGGCCTGCGCTGTTTGAGGCGCTCAGGGCGGGGGTACTCGACCGCCGGCAGGGGTGGGTTTGCCTGGCTCCGAGCTCCCCCACTTCTTCCTGAAATAACTGTTTTTCATAGATGCGCAGGCTTCAGCCCTGGGGCTGTCTCAGAAGAGCCCGGTGTAGGAGAGAGTGTCGGGGGTGACCCTGTCCAGGCAGAGGCAGGGTCATGCTTCAGGGCAGGGTCTGAGCAGAGCTGGGGGCGCTACTGACCACTTCCTCTTGCAATTTCTCCTTCCCACAGCCCAGCCCTTGTCCCTTCCTTCCCCTTAGCTGACCTAGGACAGCAGGTGCCTTAGCTCCCCTAGCAACGCAGCCAGTGAAACTGGCCCCAAACAGGGCATTCAGGTAGTGGCACCTGGCGAGGGCGGGGTGGCAAGGGGAGGGTCGTGGCCGAGCCACAACAGACTTGCACAGGTTGAAGGGGGCTGGGAGCCCCTCAACACATCCCACGTGTCTGCCTGCACCCCGAATGCCAGGCACCCACTTCCCTGCCACATCCCAGTGTGCCTTGCAGCCCCCACGGTGCTCCGGAACCTGGCCCTGCCCCACCTGGAGGAGTACGTACCTGGCAGGTGCTGGCAGGTACATGTGAGTGCACCTCCCCGTCCCTAGCAGTCCCCCAGCCTCCTCAGCCTCCTGGCCACTCCAGCCTGCCCTGTGCCCTGTGTCCTGCCAGCTCCATGCCAAGGATTCTGTGCTGACCTCTGCTGCCCTGCCCTGGCAGAGCCTGACCCTCAGCAAGGAGCCCACAGCAGGGGCACCCCGCGCTGCCCACACTCACGACACAAACACGCCACCCAGTGTTGCTGCCGCCTCACCAGTGGTCGGGCTGCCAAGTGGGCTGACCCAGGGCAGCTGTGTTCCCGGGAGCAGCAGGCCTGGCCACATTGCCCCGTCCCCCAGCATGGCTCCTCCTCAGAATCCAGGCTGACCTTGGGCAAGTTACTGGGCCTCTGGACCTCAGGGTCCAAAGACTTCTTCACGGGGTGGGGGAGGGGGGCTTGTGGACATCGCGAGCCCCGCCCACCCCAGGCACCTGCCGTTTGAGGGATGCTGGTCCCTGGAAAGCTCTGGTCAAGACCGCGCCCCTCCCCTCCCCCTCCTCACTCCCCATGGTCTGCTCCACCCTTGACCTGGGCTGCCCTGGTCAAGACCGCGCCCCTCCCCTCCCCCTCCTCACTCCCCGCGGTCTGCTCCACCCTTGACCTGTCTCATCTGCTGAGCCAGGCACAAGGCAAAGAAAGGGGGCCACGGCCAAAGCAGCCCAAACATGCCTGTCGCGTGTGCGGCTGTGGGTGAAGTCCCAGAGGAGGGCCTGGGGCCTGGGAAGCCGGTCCCAGCCTGGTGACCGAGGGGTGCGCTGACCTGGGGGAAGCTCGTGGCACACCTCCACGGGGAGTCTCAGCCCCTCCTGGCCACTTCCTCTTTTGGGTGCCGAGCCCAGCCAGCGGAAGCCAACTTCCCCACCCCTAGCTGGAGTACAACCCCAAGGAAAGCCGTGGCCTAGACAGCCAGAGGCGCCCCCGCCCAGCCTGAAGGACAGGAGCCAGCTCCGGGAGCTGCCCGGCCCTGCGCCTCCCCAGCCCCAGGCCTCCCAGGACAGGCCGGGGTTGGTTTGGAGTGTACACGCCCGAGGGCCCATCCCTGAGAGCAGCTCTCGGGCTGGGACCTGCTGCCCCTCCCTCGCAGCCCCTGGGGGGAGGCCGCGTCTCCTCCCCCAGTCCTTGGCCTCTGAGGACTTCCGGGTGCTCCAGCGGCGGTGGTGGCGTGAGCGAGCGCGGGTCGAGTGCCAGGGTGGACGTGAGCCCCTGGCCTCTGAGTCCAGGGCCCCGGATTGCGCAATCGAGGTCTCCGGAGGAAGCCACAGCCCTTGTTTTCTCTGAAGTGGGAGGGGCTGCCCTGGCAGCCTGAGGCCCGGGGTGGACGGCTACCCTGGTCAGCGGCCGGGCAGCGCTCCTGCGTCCGGGAGCACGCTGGACAGGTAGGTCCCTGGGTTGAGCCCCGCGCCGGCGGCCGGGCCAGTGGCCGTCCTGGGAACAGCCATCCGCACAGGCGGCTCAGGGCTCCCCCCGTGGAGACGCTGGTGGTCATCCTGGAGAAGTGGCCGAGTTTACACAACCAGCCAGGGGAAGTTACAGACGCTAAGAAATCCCTCGGCCACCCTCGGTGCCCCTGCTGCCCGGTGGTCCTGGGCCCCGGTGCCCTCAGGGAGACAGCACCAGGCCCAACGGCCTCTGGGCAGCGAGAGCCTGACCACAGCGCGTACAGGGGGGCGGCCAGGGGCTCAATCAGGGAGTGTGTGTGTGCGCCCACGCAAAGGAGCATTTGGAGGAGAAGCGGCCCTGGGGCATCCGGGCCCAGCGGGTTCGGCCCCTGGCCAGGCGGGGCCGGCAGTCCCACAAGAAGCTCCTGCGGCCTTGTCCGCTTCGTCCCACCTCCAGGGTCCTCCACTCTGTGGACTGCGCACAGCACTGTCCACGGCCACCCCAGAGAAGCCCCAGGGCCCCGGGTGGGCGCGGCCGCTCGCAGCCACACAGTCCGGCCGGCCTCGGCGAGCCGGGGACCGGCGGGCGCGCACCGCCCCCGCACCTGCTCGCCGGCACCGGCCCACGTGACCCGAGACCCCGCCCCCGCCCGCCGGCCTTCGCCCCCCGCGCCGCTGCCGCTCCCGCGCCCGTCGACCCCGGCGGCGGCCCCACGTGCGCGGCGGCGCGGCAGGGCGCATGCGTGGCGGCCGCGCCTGCGCACTGGGCGGGCCGCGGCGCAGAGCTGCTCGGCGGCGCCGGCGCCGGGTCCGGGCGGCCATGGGGCGGCCGGCGGCCGGGGCGCGGAGGGCCAGGTAGCGGCGGCGGGCGACGGGCGAGGCCCGGCCTGGGGACGGCGCCGGCGGCGAACGGTGAGCGCGCGGCCACTCGGCGCCCGGGGGCGCGCGAGCCGGGGCTGGCGCCGGGCAGGGCCGGAGCCGGGCGCTGAGGCGGCCGCGGGGTCCCGGCGCGGGGCGCGCGGCGCAGCCCCCGAGCGAGGAGTTTCCCTGACCCAGCCGGGCGCGAGGAGGAGCGCGGCGGGCTCCCGAAGGGGCGTCCCCGGACCCCGGAGGGCTCCTCTCCGGGGCGCCCGGGCCGCGCCCCCGGACCCTCCCGCCCCGCCCCGCGCAGCCCTGGCCTGGCTCCCCGCGATCCGGCGGGCGCAGCAGGTGCTGCCACGGACGCCGGGCGCCTGGGGCTGCCGCTCGCGATGGCAGCGGGTGCGGGGTTCTCGCGGCTCCCCGTGCAGGCCCTCACCGCGCCCTGCGGGGTTCGCAGGGCTCCCGGCCCGTGTCCTCGGGGGTGGCACTGGCCTGTCGCCCGCAGCGGTGGCGGCAGGGCCCCTGCAGCCCTGGGACGCCGGGGTTCCACTTTCGCCGTGTGCGCGCCCCGTGTCACTGAGTTTCCCGTGCACGCGCGCTGTGCGCCGGGGCTCGTGCGTGGGGTAGGTGAGCCCGCGAGCACCTGTGGGTGAGCCATGGCCCGGAAGCCGCCTCAGGAGGCCTTGCTGCCCGACACGCGCACGCTGGCCGGAGGCGCGGGTGCAGGGCCCAGAACCCCTCGGAGGTGGGTGCTGCCCAGTGCCACCCGCCCCTGGCCCTCCTGCGAGTGGCCTGTCTGGGCCTCAGAGCTTGAAGTTCCTGAAAAACTTGTCGGCTCAGGCTGGCCGTGGGGTGGCGGTGACCGTCCGCACAGCTGCCCGTGCCTTCCCGGAACCTGGGAGAGAGGCCAGCGCGGGCCGTGGGGCGCCGGCGTGGCTCTGGTCACGTGGTACTGTCCCAAAGGTCTCTCGGCTGAAATGTAACTCTTACTTGTACTTGTTTGGAGGCAGAGCTGCGTGAGAGAGGGAGGAAGAGAGGGGGTTCCGTCGGCTGGGTCACTCCCCAGGTGCCCGGGGCAGCCGGGCTGGGCCAGGCTGGGCCCGGAGCTGCACTCTGGTCTCCCGGCTGGGTGAGGGCGCAGCTGGGGCTCCGCGGGGGATGCTGGTGGGCGGGGCCCCTGGACTGGCGTTGAGGGTGTGAGCTTGGGTTGGGGTCCGCTGGGTACCTGGCGTGCCCGGTTGTTCCTGTGTCAGGAAGTCGTGGGGCCTCTGTGGGGGCCACCTCTTGCTCTCGCTCTGGGTCACCTCTCCCTCCCCTCTCTCTCCCTCTCCCTCCCTCCCTCTCTCCCTCTCTCCCTCTCTCCCTCTCTCCCTCTCCCTCTCCTCTCCTCTCTCTCTCTCTCTCCCCCTCTCTCCCCCTCTCTCCCTCTCTCTCCTCTCTCTCTCCCCCTTTCTCCCTCTCCCTCCCTCTCTCTCACTCTCTCTCCCTCTCTCTCCCTCTCTCCCTCTCTCCTCCCTCTCTCCCTCTCTCTCCCTCTCCTCTCTCCCTCTCTCTCTCCCTCTCTCTCCCTCTCTCTCCCCCTCTCTCTCCCTCTCTCTCTCCCCCTCTCTCTCTCCCCTCTCTCCCTCTCTCC